CGATGGTTAAAGCTATACAAATAATGTTATGAAACACTAACGGCCTCCTAAAATACAAAGAAGAGCTTGAACTTTTGCGCCATACTAAAAATATTGATAATTGCCTCATAGCCGAAACTCATTTTACTAGATCGTCTCACATAAATTTGAAAAGCTAATTAACTTACCACTCAGTACATTCGGATAATTGTACATGAAGAGGTAGCGCAATTATACTCCGGAACAACATTAAGCATCGCCAAGGCATTCAAGTAACAGCTCCTGAATTCCAGATAGTTTCAATTGAAATCGAAGCTGATCATCAACCTTTAGTGATAGCGGCAAAGAAAAATACATTGAAGTGTTAAAGGCTCTTGGAGATAAATTTATTCTTGGTGGCGACTTTAATGCTAAAAATACTTTTTAGGTTCGAGACTTATTATGTCTAAGGGTTCAGAACTTCCAAAAGCTTTTCAACAATCTGGTTATTGTATACTCTCTGATAAGTTGAAGAATTTCAAGTGCATATACATAAGACTTTGCAAATAAAAAGCTTATACAGACTAGTGTAAAAGCTGGTATGTCTAAACCGACCAAGCTTAGAAATTACGTTTTTCGTATTAAAGCCAAGAAATCTTTAAAATTCCGTATAATTACTAATATTTAATACTACATACTTTTCAAATCAATTGTAAATTATTATACAAATGAATGCACTATTGTGCAACATATTTTTCTCCAACAAACTTAAATCTGAAATCAATGCACACGTATTACCTTCAACACCTCAAGGAGTTTAGAACAATTGATGAGTCAAGTGTGCATTAGTCTATAATGCAAATATTATAACACTTTATCGTAATTTAAAATGTGTTTAAAAATTATTTTTATTATACCTTCAGGGATATTTACATGGTTTTGTAAAATTATTGAAATATTTCACATTTTGAGAAATTGTTGTAATTGGAAAATAAATATGATTTTAATGATGTTATTTAATTCGTTCTATGTAATATGCATAAATGATTAATTTCGTTACTTCACAATAATTTCACTACTTTGACATAACAAATCAGTTACTCATTTAAGCCGCTTCCAAAAGCCACAAACACACATGCATAAGCTCGCTTCGATGCAAATACTCAAATGCATTTCCATTGCAGATGCAATTACAACTGCAGCTGTAAATGCAAATATAAACCATAAATTTATGATATTTTTCGTATTAATTTGCAATATTTCATATCGAAATGTGCTGAAACACGTGATGAAAATTTGCTATTTGAATGCTAAGAATGCACTGCTGCCACGTGGTAATACTGTCGATTTGAGGTGACTTCATAAATTCTGATTTCGGTCCAAGGCTAAAATTGTTGTTAACTTGGTCGAGTTGTAGTGTAAGCTCTATCCCTTGCTGAAGCGGATTAAACCAACCAGAACAGATAATAATACATTCCTGTATTTCATGTGGCTTTATTAATTCGGCAACATTCTTTTTGTTGCTTATTTGTAATATTGAATTTGTCTATCACATACCTAGAGTTTTATTGCATACAAAATAAAATAAAGGCTTTAAGTATCAAATAATACATAAATAATTGCTAAATCAGAAAGATTTATTTCATTCAGAAAGGTGCACAGCAAATGTTCAATTTTCTTAAAGAGCTTATTGAAAATCTTCTGTTTACCATTTGAGTATTTGAATTAAGGAAATGTTTCATATGTGCAATATATGTGATTTGTTCGACTTTAAAAATGCCAAATGAAATCAAAAATATTATTACTTTATCATTTATTGGTAAAGTAATAATTGAACAGTTGAGAAAGATATAAGGGACATATGTATTCTTCTTTTTTTAATACATTACACTAACCAACCCAAAACTGGTGTAGTTTATTTTGTTTGCTGTACCGCTGTGCTATGATATATTAAATTATCACTAATTACATAGTTGCAACCTAATAAATAATTTAAAAATATTCGTAATATTATTGAGAACAATTAATGTAAATTAATAGTTAAATAGAGAAAATAACTCCATGTGCGTTCTGGTCTAAGCGGTAGAAGGATTATTTTTAATTAGTTTTATGAATTTAAATTCATTTCTTTTTAATCTGCTTAATCTGATTATTGTTGCTTAATTTTAAAATTTCCCCTTGATAAGATACTTCTAAATATCTTAAAATACTTCTTGAGTGCAATTTTTGAACTCCATCTTGAATTGAGTTGAGAGCGGTGCCCTATAGTTGCATCGCATACGTCCAACACTGTTTTATCATTGTATTAAATAGAAAGTGTTATCTAGACTAAGTTTTGATTGAATATCAACAATCCAATTGAGATTAGAAATTTTTAGTTTTGCTTGTATTAGTTACATGATTTTTCTGTATCAATTTCATATGTAGTATTCCTCCTAGGCAACTAACATAATTTTTTTGGGGAATAGTTTTTCCACTAATAATCAAAGTCGGCATTTACCGCTTTTTAGAGTAAAAGTTTTTTGAATGCATTTCGATTCTTAACTCTAACTCTCTACTTAGTCAGCAATTCCTCCACTTTATTTAATTGTAGCTGCAACAATTTTATATCAGTAGTAAGATTTGTACGAATACTCAGTATTCAGTATACTATGTGATCAGCGAGTGTGGAAATAATCGAATTGTTTTTAATAGATAAGAGTCTAATGTATATAAAGTATAGATCTCAATATGTTTCCTTGCGGAACACTAGCCAAAATGAGGTTTTATAATATGTTACACATATTGGGTTATGGTACTAAACTTATACAAACAACCTTCTAACCAAACCTTGTCAAATGCCTATGCGACATCTAGGAAAACTGCGGTGCAGTGTTGTTTATTATTAAATGCTTTCCTCATGTGTTATACAATTATATGTACCTATTCTGTTGTACTATTATGTTTTTCTCTTAATCCAAATTAATGTTATTGTGTGTCTTAGTTCAGGTCGAGAGCAAGTTCCGTTTTTTTAAGTAATAGTTTTGCGAAGATGTTTGAAAATATTAATATTTAACTTATGGATCTATATGAGGTGACACTAATATGTTTGATGTGATTTCAAAATCATAATAACTTTCGAAAGTTTCCATGATCTTGAAAAATAGGCAAGGTGGAGCAACGTCTTAAATATGTACAAATTAAAGGTAACCACAATTTGAAGAATATCTGATAAGCGTCCAAGCGCTTTGTTTTTTTGAATATCTAATCTGATTAATACATTCAGCTGCATTATTTCGAATTTTATCAGTGTATTTCTGGAATTTAAATTTAAGTGTACTATAGTGTTATTGGTCCTTCAAATACATTAGTTCTAGTGAGTCAGTTAGAATTCCTATAATGTTTTAATTTTGATATTGTTATAGTTAGATGGGTTTCAGATATAAGCATTGTGTCCATAGCTTGGATCTGTAGAAATACCTGCAGTTCATTTTTGTGGTGACACAATATTTGATGATTTTAATATTGTTTACTACTATTTCATTAGCAAATATACTATTTCATTTGCTTAATCTACAACTCCCGCAGATTCTTTACGCGCATCTAAAAGGCAACATTGTATAATAAACGAACAAATATTTATTGATAATGCGTATTCAAGACAGTCCAATATATAACAATAAATATCAAAGTCTGCTAATAAAAGACGCATTCAATTATATCGAAAGTACTTCATTGATGATGCGTTCAAATACTATTGGCCAGACATCACGATATTTAGTAACGGATCCCAACATAAAAGATATATACGAAGGACCTTACATTTTAAAAGCGTCGATCCTATTAAGTAAATAAATTGGCGCATTAATTAAAAATAGTGCAGCAATTTCGATTGGTTAATCCAATCTAATAAAAAGCTCACTTCAGCAACTGAACTTCGTTTTCTTTTAATATATTACATATTAATATATCTGGTTTCCCCAGAAATAAAACATAACTTTTTTTAAATAATGAAATTTCTTAGAAATAATATTTTGTAACTTTTTCTTTCAAATAATAACATTTTTTTTGAAACGAAATAAAAAAAATTACGTTTTGCATTGTGGTCATATGTTCTGTCATCATATGTATTAAATAGTTTTGAGTTTTCTCGAGATAGTAACTATTTTGATCGGTGTGATCAACTTTTGGGTTTGATTCCGTTGGTTTGCCTTCAGTCCTTCTTGAAATATATGAACCTTTTGCCTTAACTGCGAATTAAGCTGAACAGTTTTTTTGATTTTTCTTTTAATGAGATAAATACTGTACAGCCCATATAATTTACCGTATGATTTAGATCTTATGAATTAGATCTTGGTTTCGACACAGTTTACACACATGAATTATGACACTGTACGGAACCTATTGGTGATGTTGCTTAAATTAAATTAAGTTGGTGGAGCCGGAAATTATAGGGTGGACTTCTTTTTTAACGAGAAGTCCTCTCATTTATCGAGAGATATAAAATTTATTTTTTATATTACATATGCTGCGATTAGAAATATAAATTTTTTATAAAAAAAAAATACTTGGAGTTCTACGGAGGATTCAGTACCTTTTAAATTTATTGAAAATCCACACCTGCTTGCTTTTTTATTTGTGTCAAATGCGTTATTAAAACTTTTTAATTAAAAATTTTGCAAATATTCGAAACAAACAGACCCATATGATGCAAGACAATTAGATTATTTAAGCATATCAACGGAATGATACGTATCTATACAAAATTTAATATTAATAAGCTTCTCTTGATTTCAAAATAGGTTTTTTAGTGTGGCCAGCGTTTAGCACTACATGCATCTGTACGATCAAGCACTGTGCGCATTCACTGATATTATTTTATAGTAAGATTTTGTTTCGTCCAACAAAAATGAACCAAAGAACTGAGGTTACAATATTGAAATTATATTCCTTCTTGTTCGAATTGATAAGGATTAACAGAAAATCTTTCGCACATTATTAAAAAGCTGTTACTTTTCTCATCAGACTAATATTTAATACTTATAATTTTAAATCAAACTTACTTGTTCCATATCATATCGCCCGACATCAAAGGCATCTCCATTAGTAAAGCTGAAAGTAATGAAGATTTGCCACTGCCATTTTTTCCCACTATAATCGTAAAAGCATTCTTTGGTATTGATATATCCTTAATGCTCAATGTGTGCTGAAAATGGTCTGGATTCCAAGCAAAGCAAGCGTCCTTAACAGAAACCGCAACATCGTCTTGCATTTTAAGTAGCAACGAGTCGCGATGCCACGAATCGTACCTCTTCGTCTGTTGCAACTGTGAATTCGGTGCTTTACGTGGACGTATTACCACATACGGTGTGTTACGTAGCAACTCCCTACGCTGTAAGCTCAACTTCCTTGCACGCGTCTCATAATATTTTAGTAGGCACTCATTCATGCAATTACAAATGGGTGGCTTGTCTTCATTTGCATGACAACTCATTCCAATGCCGGTGCCGCTAGCGTCAGTAACTGCTGTTGTCAGTGACGGTGGTAGTTGTAATGGCTCTGGTACCGCTAATGGAGTATGCGGTTCAGAGTGTGCTAATGGCGCTGGTTTCTCTGGTATATTTATCTTTAAGACAAGTCGCTCATTTACTTTATTTTCCTTTTTGCTTTGCTTATTATCCTCCCTGTTAATGTTGTTGACCAGTAGTGTTGATTTGTCTTTTACTTCGTACATATCCAATGAAGCATCACTTTTACTAAGTATACGTGCCATGTTTCTAATGCCTTCGAACTGTTTTTGTATTTCACGTGATTGTAAAAAATTTTCCAAACGTCTGGTCGATACGACTGCCGAAATGATAATCGGCACAGTTATTGGAAATATTAGTAGTGGTACGGTAAGTTGTTGAAATAATGCCAAAGCAGAAAAGAGGCGACTGGCTGTAAATTCGTTTGTATCTGCATTATTGTTTTTGGTATTTACATTAATATAAACGGCTAGTGTAACGAATGTAATCAAAACCGTTGACAAATGTGTTAATATGGCTGAAATATAAAAAAATTATTAAGTAATGGTACTTCGGGATAACTACACTTACTCATTAGTGTCCAATACACAGAGTCCTTGTTCAAATATTTCAACTCCTTCTTTCGTGCTGTTGTTATCTTCTTCAGGAATACATCATCCCAAGCATTAAGTTTTATCAATTTGATGCCAATGAAGGTGTCATGAATTTTTCTTAAACGCTCATCAGTAAATTTCTGTGAAAGTAAAACTATTGATTAATATTTCTTCAAAGTTATATACGAGTATATCTGTATGTATATGTGAATGTACTAAATAGCAATATTCATAAAACGTTAAATAAGTTTTTCATTACCAAACTAATTTATAATTAATTTGAAAAATAATTTTTTTATTAAATTTTATGTATAAATAAATATAAATAAAAGAAGTCTGTAAAAGGATTATTATTTCTTATACTTACACCGTAAGTACAATTTTAAGCTTTTTATCGCAGTATCCTTTTACAAATATTGCTAAAAAAAGTACGCAATCTCATGTTTTCTTTCTTAATTTAAAGGCAATAAAAAAGTAAAGCCCGTAGCGTTGGACGCGGGAAAACTTTAATTTAAAACAAATAACACATTAAACTGAAAATGTTTCTATTGTCTGCTGGAAGCTACTTCACGAATCCAATCTATGTAAAACTAGTGACTACAAACGCTGCTAAAACAGCTGTTGCCCTATGCAAAAATAATTGCGAACCAAAAATTCAATTATGTTAAATACAACATAAATCTGTTAACAAAAAAGTTTTAATGAGCCATTTTTGTAATATTTTTCGTTCTCTGCTTTATTTCCAGCTTTCGGCATTTCACCAGATTTGCACTTGGAGGTGATGGACGAGCGGTTCCAGCCAATGTGGTTCAGTTGCAACCCACTTTTGATGTTGCAATAAAACTACAATGAAGTACTTAACAAGGTCAGATATCGAAAATCAAAAAAGTTAACTTATTCAGGAATCATATATCTCATTTTTCTTTTAAAAATTAGTGCTGAATTCGACCCAATTAAAGTACAATTTTTGACAGTTAACAATTGTCAATACAAAATTTATATCTAAAAACCCAAACAAAATTGATAGCTAAAAACGCTTTCACTAAACGCACGAATTGTTCAGCCTTCTATGCTTCTATGGCTTTTAACGACTAATATGGAAAGGTGTAACGACCGATCATTAAAATAAGTGATCCAGCCAATTGATTGGAGAGAATATTTCATTGTCATAAGAGTAAGAAAATCATCTGAGCTTAACAAACTGTTATACCCAGTCAACAATCACTACATTTTTGTTACTGTAATCTGTCAAGACCTTATGATTGGATAAAACAAATCAGTGTTGTACTAGATTCACACAAGAGGCTTAACTGTAATTTTAACCATCAAACATTTTAAGCATGAAACTCATGACATCTGAAATCAAATAGCAAAAATATCGATTCAACGACGTTCATTGTAATTTGATTGTCGGATTCATCATATGTCATTTCTATTTTCACCTGTCATAATTACCACACAAATGTTCTTGATTTAAATTTGTTTTGCTATTGAAATCAAGAATAATTTAAAATGACAGCCAAAATTACATTCAACACTTTCGTGTGAGTCCAGCGTAAACTAAGTTTCGAAATTTGCATCAGTCGTATATTCACTTATGAAGCATAGCATATTGCATACCTATATTATAAAAATCATCTGTAAAGACTACAGTTCTAATTTGATTGATCAAGAATTAAAACCGAGTGAACTTCTATGAACTAGATATATCTTATATGGCACATATTCGTTCAATTTAACTCGCTTCTACAATTTTTTCTGTTATTTATAAAGCTAAAGCAATGATAGCAATGATTGATCTTCTTTTGTAAAGTTGAACTTATCGTTTTACGAGACAACTTGAAAAAGTTCGAAAACCATTTATGTTAAAATATCAAAATCAGAAAAAACTATGTTTGAAAGTTAATATGAATTATTATTCTGTTAAGTAATGATAGTGAAATCTACAAACAATACCACAGGTAGAAAAAATTGCGATCTCCCTCTTAAGATTTTTAGTCTTTATAAAATCGAAAAAAATAAAATGTTAACCAAAAATGTTATATCATTTCGTATTTTTTTATATTTCAGTTTAATTAATGAGTCAATTAACCCTTGAGATATACTTGATTCAAACTCTAGCAGCATTATCTTTCGCTTTTCTAACATTTATTCCTTCTTTTTCCTTGCAACTCCTTAGTTATCATGTGAGCTCAATATGTTAAATCAAAATTATTGAGGATTGTTTGAATTGAAATTATATATATTTAATTTCATTTATATAAAATAAATATATAATATATAATATAATTATATACAATCAACAAATTTAATATCAAAGCAAATAAATGTACTTTTAAAAAAAAACTTAGTATGAGGAAGGTACTAAAGATAATATCAGTATGATATGTTTCTGCTTCAATTCTTAATAGATATTTAAACTTTAAATTAGTTTAAAACTACACCCCTTCAAATACATATAAAACGTAAAGTAAATTAAGTAAATTACAACATGATTACTTCAAAAATATCCTCTTGTATCAAGTCAATAAATTTATTCGGTCCTTCTCTAATTTTTCTCAGAATATAATTTTTTTACTCTTGTCATAGCACTTGATAAAGTAAAGGTGCTTCAAAATTATGCAAATAAACAAACCAAAACTTAAATATGCGCTAATTAAGTTAAGCAAATAATTAAGGAATTTAATGGAAATTAATAAACTAAATTAATTTTAACGCAATTTACATACTTAATTAACTTGAAGTGTTAACCATACAAACGCCACAAATAAGCTAACTCAACCATTTCATATGAGAAATGCGCGAACAAACCCACACACCAACTCAAGTGTCTGTATGTCTTATAACTTATTATGTCATTGTTACAATACACATGTCACAATGCAATATATATATATATATATATATATATATATACCTATATATGTTATACAAAAATATGAACGAGTACTTACCGCACTTATTCCTGCATTAGTTGACATCGCCTTGCCAATAAGGAATTGGAGTGGTGTCATGGTTAAGATACAGACAAATGAACCAATGACGGCACTTATGCCAAGCTTCACATAAAGTAAGTACATTACCACTGCAATCTGAAAATATTGCAAATTAATTATTAACATAACGAGAATAATCACGCAATTAATCTTTTTAAATATTCCGTATATTTATTATCAAAACTTAAGCGATGTGCGTAAAATCCTGCATACATTATTTTACAACAGCCGGTTGTGCCAGATCTGGGTTGCTATTAGCACCTTGTTGCATGCAAATGATAATCTCCTTAGCAGTAACTGAGCCTGACAAGCAGGATACTTGCAATATTTGTCAACATGCACAATTTATTAATAGCAATTATTTATCAGTAATAAAATTCGAACCGAGAGTAATGCGATTTACAGTGTAGCAAATTATTGAGTCAAAAGAAAATATTTGGGGTGAGGATTATCATAAGCGATAGCTTATTTTCTTACATTGAATTTTCTTTCCTTAATTCATAATAATAGGTCGACTAGAAATGTGAACATTTTAAGCATTTACAACTGCCAATACTACTCACAGATTGCTATATTTATAGTTGCAATTGTTGTTAATAAAACTTTGTAACGCAATTATCACAACTCTAGTTCGATAAAGGATTTATATACTCGTACTTTATAAAATATAGATTGAAATACTAAGCTATAAGCTGGTTTTTGTGATTTTTGTAAACGGCATATTCATGTAGACATATGACATATATCAGCAATATATGTACATGTTTGGCTAAAAATATTCCAGCTGTATCGAAAAAGAATCAAATTTATTCATAACAAGTTCCATACAGTATTTAGCCATATCTGATAGCACATTATGGTGAGCTTTGTGTTCCGATTTGCAACACGTTCACTTGAATGTACAAACGCTTTACTGGATGCAATCGTTGGATGAAAATTCTTCTTGAATACAATATCTCGCAACCATTTGCCACTTAATGCTTATATCACCATATGCTTTTACAAACAGCCACTGTATGATGGAGAGTTGAGTCTGGAGATGTGATAAACCAGCAATTTTTTTAAAAATTTTGAAAATGTAGCACAAACCAGGAATTTTGAACGCTACAGCCATATAGGAATTTAGAAAATATGCAGTCTCACCAAAATGAAAGCATCACCTCTCATGTATTGATATCGTTGCACGACATACTCTCCGGGTATCTGATATGAGTTTCATGCTTATGTGATAAGAAATGGTCACCAAAATTATGGCCGAACTATTGTCAGCTATGCAATATTAAGTTATTGTGCCAATAATTCACTGGAAATGATCTCAAAACGGTTCAATACTGTTAGAGATGCCATGGAGAATATTTGAATAATGTGATTCACAACTAGTGGCAAGATTCAAATAATATATATTAAAATAAAAATTTTATTAAAACCGTGAGTGTGTTTTATTAACATTTACTTTTGGACACACAAAATGAATATAATGGTATTTATGGTATAGTTGGGGCTCAAAGTCTAAAACTTTCGACATAGGTACTTTCAAATATCAAATATGTTCAATGTTCGATCTGGGTAATGCAGAACATAATTTTTAGTACAATATGTTCTGGTTATGATTTACCTACGGGATGTAAAACAACATTAGACAAATTTTATAGCATGCCTTCACAAATTTGTCTTAATTTTTGTCATTCAACGAAGAACCATATTAGCATATATTGTATATAGTATATTATATGTTAAATCCGTTCAATTAACTTTAAGTACAATATACATATTTTCAAGGAAAGTTATTCAGCAAAAAAATCCAAGCAACAAAATCCTTTTCCAGACTAATTGAAATTGATTGATTGTATCTCGAAATCACTCGCGATTTTTCAGACATAATATTCAATATATTCAATATATTACGTATAATTATTACAGCGACATGACCAAGATGAGTTTTAAAGCGAACGTAATTAGAAATTCTTTCAGAAATGTACTTGCAAAATGTTAAATGGTAAAAACCACACACATTGCCTATATGAGTGAACACATTTTTGATAAGATACAAACAGGGTACGTAATGGAGCGCAGCACCGCGACCATAGTTGATTGTTTGTGGTGCTACAGACCCTAACCGAACAGAAAACATTCCGCCTTTCAAATGAAAGCTAAAATATTTGCCATTGAAGATCTTCTAATGTCAGAAGGTGAAAGTAATTCTAAACCCAGTGGGCCCAGATCAAAGCTGGACAAATACAGAGAATGTGACTGGAAGTCTCGTCTGGAATCTATCTCTTCGGACAGACCCATTTGATTAAAGTGATAACGCAATCCGTGATGACCCATCAAACATCCCACCAGCAACCTTAACTCTGTTCTGCTGAATAAGGATACCTTACCGTAACTGTAGGGATGAACCAGCACTTTAACCTGATGGTTACTTGAATTGCTGCGCCAGTAGCGTCTTCTTTCGGTTGAAAACCACTTTCCAATCACAAACCTGGTTGTAAACTAACTTAATTCACAATATGGCTCCGGTCCACAAAGTTAAATGACAGATTCTGTCCTCGCAAGATTGTCCGCAGACTCATCACCATTAATTACTGCGTGATCAGGCACCCAGCAGAGCATCACTGGCCAGTGGCTGCCGCGTGTCATAGCATAGGATTGTGATATTTTAGTTGAATGTTCACAGCAAGAAATCAAAAGGGAAACAAGAAAATGCAAACTTATTATCAAAAAGACGGTACAAACTACTTCGCCGATGCAGCACCAAATACGATTTACCGTTCTTTACCAATTTTGGCGTAACATTAAAGGGAATGTTAAAGGTTTAGCACGAAAGGTTTCTCAAATTTTAACTGAAACTTTTTTTCAATAAGGTGCAGCTCCACAATAAATATAAAATTATTCCTGATTCAACAATTACGACTCATTACAAAACAGCACTCGATAGTATGGAGCACGAAAGATGCTAATCAACCTGTTAAAGTCAGCCAACAGAATTCAACAACAAAAGTTTATAATGTGAATTTATTTCACCAGAGGAAAAATTGTGACTATTATTTACATTAAAAGTAAATAGCCAAATAGTATACTACAATCTGTAGTAAAGTTTTCGAAAATATGTTAGATAATCCGAAAAAATGGAACTGCGTCGATACTTTCTGCATAAGGATGAGGTGACAGCTGACACTGCTGAAAAAAAACAACTTCATTGCGCTTTTAGGGATTTAAGAAATTCCCCGAACACCACATTCCTCGGATCTAGTAGCGTGTGATTTCTGATTTTTCCAATTAAAAAGAAAAAATTGAAAGGAAGGGTTTTTAGCAGATGGCATCACTTTAGGTACATGTTTTTAAAAAGATCTGCTTACTTCAAAATACAGCTTATATATGCTTTTCTTTGACGATGGATACAATAGTGCAAACACTAGAAGCAACCAAGTTATTTTTATTTTTGAAACAATAAAACTTAACGCGAAAAACATAAAAAGGAACTCATTTAGAACTTTTCAGTATTTAATTAATCTCCTCTCGTGTTACTTTTGCATTCAATTAATGTCTTTGTCATGCTGTTGCCATGGTTTATTAACATATTTCCACGAACATCAATTAATATCTGCAACACCTCTTCCATTATTTGACCTTGAGCACATTTAGGGCATATTTATATCCTTTCTGTGAGGAACCAATGCTTTCGCAATCAAAGCGGAAACGTTTCAAATCATTTGACACAAATTGTGTGCTGCGTATGTGTTAATTAATACAATTTATGCACATTCAGCGCCAGCTTGTGTGTACATATCTGACTTTCGCCATGCTTTGCTGTCCTAATAGACAGCTATCGAGTACATGTCTTCACAAACCTCCTTATGGCACTCGCTCGTACGTTTTGTTTATTTTCAAATGCCTAGCCGAAAGCATTCTGTAGAATATCAAAAGTGTAGTCATTTTAAACGAACAGTTCCCAACAATGCCCCAAGCCTGCCATAGTCCAATACAACACGACACAGCACCAAAGGTGATCCATATGAAATGCAACTCAAATGGAGTATCATTAAATACAAATTAATAATGCTGGACAAGGCAATGGACATGGCCTAGTAATGTGTGCGAGTACTTGTTGTCAACTTAATATCTGCCGGCAAGCGCTTCGTATTTGTATTTTATTTACTTTTCAGATACAACTCAATAGGGTTACAGGCCACAAAATTGGTACTCACAAGGTTGGCATATTTATTGAACAAAATTTAATACCAATCTACATATTAATTTGTGAAAATAAAAAACTCTTCCATAATTTATTGCAGTTCTTGCAAAACAAAACAAAGTCCCCGATTTTAATATCAGCACTTAAATTTGAAAAAAGTGCATAGATTCCATTGGAAATTCAAATAAATTTAAATGTAATTTAAAATTTATAACATATAAATTGTTATACATAAATCTTAGTAAATAAATAAATAAAATCAAGACATATTATTCAACTAAACTTATTATTGGAGAACAGTTCAATTTTGCTTAAATTTAGAACAACCATAACGGCACTTCCTTAACTCCGTTAAGAGCAAATCACAGCAAAAATTGCCAGTAAGTAGCATAAATCTTTGTTAAATGGCCATAAATTTAGTAAAGCAAAGAAATGGAATCAGCGTGCATACAGACCTTAAGAGGAATTGCCCATACGTAGTGTACTATCCAGAAGAAGGACATTATGTTTAATGTGTCCTCAGACATCAAATTTGTAATGGTACCAACGTCAGCGGAACCTATTGGGAAACAAAAGAAATTTATTAAAAAACTATAAATATATTCATATATATGTATCTCATATAATCATACTTTTCTTTTATTATCTTTTTAGTTGAATAATAGGAATATATTATATGCATTCTTATATGCATTGAACATAACGCATGATATACTACGTGGACCTACTACGTGGCTGCATTTGATAGTAGACATAAAAGTTAGTAACGATCTGTGCAGTTTTAATCAGTTTAGTTACTGAATAACATTTTATGTACAAGAACAAAAAACCTTCATGCTATACTTTCTTTCTGGTTCTTAATCTCGATCGTGAATGCCACTAATTATTAAATTGACTAGTATTATATTGGTAAACTTATATCAAATTAGCAACTAGTAGTGTTTTTATATAATATATATAACTGAATTATATAGATATCTTTATGCTTATTATAAAGTTTCTTAACAATTCTTGTAACGTTTTTTTATACTTTAAAAAGCTTTCTCTCACACTTGTTAACTAAGAGCATAGCTGAGACTTAGATTGATTTTGGCAACTGCAACTAAGACAATAAAGACATTTTTTATTGAATAAACGACAGAGAGCATTCTCTTACAGAGAAAAGCTGTATTAAAATATTTACTTTTTACTATCTTATAGATTTAGTTATATCTGGTAGTTATCTACATGACAACTAAAACCTGTCAAACAAGCACTTAGTAATATTTAGATCTTATGTACTTTCTATGCTTATTGCATAAAGGCAACTTTATTTATGTGACGTGTTTCAAAAAATCATGTTATAATGTTCTTTTTTATTTTGAATGTATCAAGATTTCCCTTTATGATTTCGTTCTACTGTTCCCATGTTTCACGATTTTATAGTGTTGAATTTCACTTTTCTATATTTAGTTCTTTACATATTTGCTGCAATAGTCCATTTATAAATTCCATGCCTTTATATGTTTTTAAGATTGAAAAACATCCATATATGAGTATGAATTCTTTTACCATTTAGCGACTGTACTGGAATTTTTTCTACATTTGTTAATTCACATTGTATTGTATCGAAATCATATAGATAGTCTAAGTGGTCCCACGGTCTCCATAGCTACCATTTCAAACGATGTAGATGGTGTCCACACCATCTGTTCCACACATGCTTTCTTTTGCATATTTTGTTATTTTAACTTTATTACAAATTTTGCAATTATTTATATATATATATATATATTTATATATATATATATTATTTATATAATTTTATTTATATATCTTATATATAAAATTAACATTGTCACAATGTTAGTTACCGTACTCCTCCGAAACGGCTTTACCGATTTTTACCAAATTTTATATGCGTATTCAGTAGGTCTGAGAATCGGCTACTATCTATTTTTCATACCGCTAAAGTGATTAGGGAGTCCCAACCTAGCAAAAATATCCTTATTGCTTTAACAAAAAATTTTTTTATTTTTGACATAAATTTTGTTTATATTTTTGAAAAAGAAAAATTTTTTTCTTAATATTTTATGTAACTACGCCAACAAGTACATCGAGCATTTACATACACTTCGTTCTTCGTCTTCGCCTTGCATGGCAGATGGAAAATGTACTAAAAATTGAAATCTAAAGCTTTCACTAATGATACTATAACAAATACCGACGGATATCCAATATATCGTCGAAGAAATCCCGATAATGGGGGACAATGGCGGGTGGTGCCGTATTCGCCTCTGCTAAGCTAAACATACAATGCTCATTATTAATGTTGAGTTTTGCAGTTCTGTGAAGAGCATCAAATATATAAGTATGTCCATAAAGGCAGTGATATGGCTGTGTTTAGAGTAGAAAATACTAATATAAATGCTCCTCCAATGAACAAAAACGGTGAAATTACGCTCTACCAAATTGGTCGGTACATCAGCTCCAATGAAGCTGCTTGGCGTATCTTCGGTTTTCTAATTCATGAACGGGATCCAGCAGCTGTTCAGGTAGCCGTTCATCTTGAAAACGGTCAGCGTATTTTTTTCACGAACGAGACAGTGATTGATCGTGGTACAAATCCACCTAAATCTACACTCATTGCATTTTTTTAATTGTGTAATAGTACGGATGATTTTGGTGCCTTTGCAAGAACATTACTCTATTCACAAGTACCACGCTATTTCACATGGGCTCAAAAAAAAATGGATGCCCCGCAAGCAAGTTTCACCAGTTTATGCATGTCTCAATTTATTTAAATCGAACGCTTATTTATAGTTAATCCAAGACACACTGAGTGCTTTTATCTTCGACTGTTGTTGGTTAATGTTACTGGCCAATTATCATTATTATTATTTACAGTCAATCCAAGACAATTTAAATTTGAAGATACAACAGTTGTTGCCAGGGAACTTGGTATCATACAAATCTATTGATTTTAAATTAATAATTTAATAAATAAACTATAATAACTTAAAAATAATATTGTTTGGCGTTTGTTATTTTTATTTTCCTTTTCGTTCATAGCGCTCCATGCCTATTTCATGCATATACAACATACTTACACACTTATAATAAATAAGTTACTTTTTGTCTACACTAGAATTTATCTAGAAACTAGAAATAATTTATAAGGCAAAACAACGTTTGTCGGGTTATCTAGTATATATATATTATTTAAAGTTTTTGTCATTTTAGAAAGATTTTTCCAAATATATTTTTGTTTTAACTTTACTACACATCTTCTAATGTGTCCTGTATGTCCTACTACCTTTGTATTATGATTTTCTTCCATTTTCTTCTTTAATTATTCATCTTTGCTAACAATTTGAATTGGATTATGAATATTTTTTTTTTTTTTTGAATTGGTCGACCTTTATTATTTTAAAAATATTATCATCTTTTTGTAATGCTAATTTTTCAATTTCATGTACTTTTGCAAAGCATATTACTCGTAACTTCTTCAAAACCAATTTTAAGTCTGGTAGAGAAACATCATTAAATAATACAAGAATTTCATTGTCTGGTATTTTTATTTTAAAATCATTAATAATATAAATAATTATTATTTTTCATACATTTTAACTTCTTTAGACGTCTTATATCTGAAACAGATGTCGGTTGCTTAATATGAAGATGATCGGGCTTCACTTTATGGAATCAATATCTTTTTGTTTCCTTATTTCACTAGCTATAATATTATCTTAATTGTTGGCATTAAATTATTTTATTTTGCATCTGCTCCTGTTAGGACATTTACCTCTTTTGGTACCATATGTATCAATTTTTCAGCGTTTACCATAATTCCAGATAAAGCATTTTTATTCATATTCATATTCGTTAGAGCAATTAATTCGAAACATTCTGAAATTAATATTGTCGTTATTGAAGGTTTATTCAGATACATAAAAATATCTTCTTGCGATTCTAAAGTTTGTATATTTAGAACGTATGTTTTAAAATCTACTTTACAGTTGTAATTTATAAGAAAATCTCTCCATATAATGCCGTCAGTTATATGTTAACTGATTCATTCATTAAATGAAAATTGTGTGTTATATTTAACCCTTCAAGTTTACTGATTAAATTTGCTTCTTCTTTCAGCATTATGGATTCATTCGCAACACAACAGAGACAAGGTAACTAAGAAATTTATAAAACATTAATTCCAAGCAACGTAGCCTTATCGGTAACGTTGATTCTCAACCTACCAGCGTAGCCCAGTCGGTAACGCTGATTTCAAGCAACGTCGGTAACATTGATTCCCAATCTACCAACGTAGCCAAGTCGGTAACTCTAATTCCAAGCAACATAGCCTTGTCGGTAACGTTGATTCCCAACCTACCAGCGTACCCCACTCGGTAACGCTGTTTACAAGCAACGTCGGTAACATTGATTCCCAACCTACCAGCGTAGCCAAGTCGGTAACTCTAATTCCAAGCAACATAGCCTTGTCGGTAACGTTGATTCCCAACCTACCAGCGTAGCCCACTCGGTAACGCTGTTTACAAGCAACGTAGTCTTGTCGGTAACTTTGATTCTCAGTCTACCAACATAGCCCAGTCGGTAACGTTGGATACCCTTCCTAATACTAATCGAGTTTTCCTATTTCAGGAATTATTTTAAAAATTATAATTTTGATAGTAAATAAGTATTAAATATAAATATTGTAAAGAAATGTATTATAAAAATAGAAATAGACAATAAATTAATAAAACTAAAAATAGCCCGGTTTTTAAATTGTTATACGTCGAGAAGATCCGGCGAACGAAACCTCGCCGGTAAGGTTCATTACAATGGTAAATGGTAAACTCTTATGGTAAAACCTATTACTTAAGTCCCGAAATTCTATCGTGACTCTACCGCACAATGGTTACACCCATTGTATCCTATTTAGCTCTTGTTTGTGATATGTATGTAAGTAATCTCTCCCACTCAATCTCTTTCTCTTAGTGTAGAATTAAGGTAGACATAAGAACACTAGTCTGTATAATATATAATATATAATAAATTGAGTCTGTTACAAACCGTAGACAACAACGGTCTTTTATGTTGCTCAAATATATATTAATTGGCGACGAGGAAAAAGTGAAAAAGAAAGCGAAAAAGTAAAAATATTTATTATAATATTTAATAAGTGGAAACAAAATTGATGAATCTTGAAGGAAAGATTGATTTGGAAAATAGACCTGAAGCTGTGAAAAAAGAGACTGACAGTATGGCAAATGCGGCAGTGGCATTAATTGGATCGATAGAAAATTATGTAATGGGTGAGGATTTTTCATTGTATATTAATCGTATAGGTCATTTGTTGAATTTAAATAAAATTGAAAAAGACGAAAGTAAGACGTCCTTTCTGATAAGTCTTGGAGGCGCTGACCTTTATAAGACCTTGACCAGCGTGCTAGCACCGAAAAGTGAAATAGACTTCAAATATGAAGAAATAGTGGCAAAATTAAAAGCCCACTTTGCACCAACAAAAAACATAATTTTTGAGTGCTATCAATTTTTTTAAAAGAGACCAACATACTGGTG